TTATGGCTTTGGGATGGAGTGGATCTCATGTCCATAAGGGCTCATGGTAAGGCTACTGGCCAGCTTAATCCTGTAGAGTCACAAATTTTAGCAAGCTTATTCTTAAGTACACCATTTTGTCTTTCAACTGCACCTGCACTCTGTGGGTGGTAGGGACAGTGCAACAGGGGTTTGATATGCAATTTACGGTCCAGGTGTTGAACAAGTTGTCCAGTAAAATGAATACCCCGATCACTGGACAGTGTAGCAGAAATTCCCTTGGCAGGCATAATATGATTTAACAAACATTTGGCAACAGACAGTGAGTCAGCCTTGCGACAAGGAAAGGCTTCACTCCAACCAGAGAATAAACATACCATAACAATATAAATTCATATTGTTGACACTTAGGCATTTGTACAAAATCAAGTTGCCAATGCAAGAACGGTGCTTGAGGCAGACCCAGAACCCCTGGGCCACTTTTACAGGTTTACCAGTATTATGGCTTTGGCAAATGGTACAGGCTGCACAGTGGTGGGCTGCAAAAGAGCTAAAATGGGGGGCCCACCATCCTGTCTTAGTTACAGCAGAGACCATCCCCTCCTTTCCGACATGTGAAACACCGTGTAGCAGGGCGGCCAGAGACGGGTAGAGTGAAAAGGGGGCTACAAAGGCGGCAGTAGGTGAGCACCAAAAAGAATCGGGATGTAGAGAGCAACCTTGGGCAACCCAGGATTCTTTCTCGGTTTCTGGGGCAGAGTCTTGGAGCAGGGTGAGGTCAGTGAGGGACCAGGAGGGTAAGAGGAGAGCGGAGAACAAGGGAATCAGACATTTCGACTAGGCGCGCTGCAGCAGCCACAGCACGCAGGCAGGGGGGTAAGCCTTGGGCAATAGGGTCTAAAGTGGCAGAGAAATAAGCCACTGGGCGGTTCTTTTCTCCATGCATCTAAGTGAGAACTCCAAGTACACACCCAGATTGCTCATGGCAGAAAAGGGTAAAAGGCTTAGAATAGTCAGGCAGCCCTAAGGCAGGGCCAGAAGCCAAACCCTGTTTGAGGGAAACGAAGGCAGAATTGGCCTCGGGGGCCACGGCATGGGGTCAGGCACAGAGAATCGAGTGAGTTCCTGGAGAGGTTTTGCAAGGGAGGCATATTGGGGAATCCATTGTCTGCAAAATCCAGCCATGCCTAAAAACTTCCAAACCTGGCGTGGGGAGCGGAGTCGGGGAAAGCTAAGGATAGCTTGGACGCGGGTGGGAGAAAGTGCACGGGAACCCTGGGAGAGGAGAAAGCCAAGGTATGTGACAGAAGCTTGACAGAGTTGTAGTTTAGAGCGAGAAGCTGTGTGACCCTTATTTGCTAGGGAAGTAAGGAGCACTAAAGAGTCAGTTTCAGAGGCAGACAATGAAGGGGAACAGAGGAGTAGATCATCTACATATTGGACTAGTGTGGACCTGGACGGGACAACAAGATCAGCAAGGTCTCGGGCTAATGCTTGGGAAAAATATGACGGGCTTTCAGTATACCCCTGGGGCAGTGTGGTCCATGTGTACTGTTGCCCCTTGTAAGAAAAGGCAAACAGGAACTGGGAGTCAGGGTGAACCAGGACAGAAAAGAAAGTAGAGCACAAATTAACAAGAGTAAAATGAGTTGCATCTGGTGGGATAGAAGCCAGAATCTTTGAGAGAGGCAAGTTTTGATTCAGTCCACCTATGATTTACCTCTTCCCACCACTGCATGAAACAATCAACCTCTCCTTTTGCCAATTTAGTTTTAGGTTGGCCGAGTTTGTCTTTTAAGATGTCTACTCGGTCTTTGTCCCAAGATCCTAACAGTGGCCACTGAATTTTGGGATTCTCCTGAGTTAGCCTAGACCATTTTTCCAGAAATTTACAGGAGTCCGGACCCTTCCTAAAATACATAAACTGAGCCGGTGTTCCTTTAGGGAACTGTCCCGACTTAGACGTCTGGTTACCCGTACAGGAGGACTTTACACACCAATCACACAAGAAGAAAAGTCGGGTTCGTCAGAGCGATACCTGGTGCAACACACAAAAGGAGCCCACAGGCTACTGCCTCAATCGCCCTTGCTTTCACACAAAGGGTTTTACCCAAGGCGCGGTGTGGCTGCGATTCTGCAGATTTCACTCACTCAGACCGTGGGGACAGGAACCCTTTGGTCAGCCGATCCCTGGATGGAGACGGCGCCCAGACTCAAACACACCACAGGGAGGATGGATAGACACAGAGACAAGACAGTCCTCAGTTCAGACAAAACACAGAAATAATTACCTGACCAGAATCCTGATGTCAGATCCCGGGATCCCTACCAGAACAGAGTGGGAACCAACAGGTTCGATGGCGTAGATTTCCTGTGGTCATGCACCCTTCCATTCTGGCGGAGGACCGCTCGGGCCAAATGCCCAGGTGCCGGCTTGCCACGGCCGTCCTAAGATCAGTCAGGAGTCACACGACCCCAGTGAAGACGATTGCCATCTCGGTGGAACCTCCAAATTGTCAAAGTCAGGTTCAGGACTCACATAATTTGTCAGACCACTCTGTTTTATTAGCAAAGCGCTTTGCCAATGCACCCAGATATGTGAGCCCCTCTCTAAGGCTCAAGCTAACTTATTTATACAGCAAAGCCAAAGCCAATTTAACATAAGAGACAAAAGGAAGCAGAAACTGACAAATATACATACATATCTTATTTGCATACTAACGTTTACCAATCTCCTAGCTCAGTAGGAGCTCTAAGTTAATTAGTTTGAGGACCCATTGTCTCACACTCCTTAATGTTTCTTTTCCTGACAACTATATTTCAACAAACCCTTCAAGTAGCATTTCTTTAATGAATTATAATTTCAATATAATTCATTCTACTTTCACACATTCAAATTGCACTGGTGTAATTGACTGCACAAGGTGTTGGGCAATGGAGAATCAGCACTGTTGAATATATTTGGCTCAGATTGTATCCTGAAACACCATAGTAAAATGTTCTTCTAGTATTTCTCTACCCCATTCACCAAATACACTGGGGCCCAATAGTGAGGTCTTTACACAGTCAGGGCATCCATTGAAGTTCACAGGTCAAAGGTAGATCTTAATTTTTATTCAGTCCTGGCTCAGGCAAACTGCCACTGAAGTCAGTGGGAATTGTCTGAGTAAACTGAGCCAATTTAAATATGGACTTTAGGATTTCCCCGGGATGTCTTTGCTGACAAATCTACTCCCTTGAGAGCTTCATGGTATAGTGAAGTTAACCCAATATTTGTGGTAGGAAAAGCATGTTGTAGACAGCCTGGGGTATCATGACTTCTGGATTCCCACTGAATTGTTTTGTGAATGACTTTGACCAAATTGATCAACCTTCTGTGCTTAGCTTGCCTCTTTTGTAAAATGCCTATGGTACTTGCCTAACAGTGTGAGTAAACCTGGCTGGGAAATGATTTTTCCCCCCTTTGAAAAATACTGATGAAAATAAAAAAAAATATTTTTTGTTGAAAATTTTCTTAGATTTGTTTGTGGGGTTTCATTGAAAAATGGTGAAAAAATATTTGTGGTTTTTGGCAAGTGAAAACTGAAAAATGTTGGTGTTTGGTTGGCAAAAAATACAAAGCAATTTTTTAATGAAAATCTGAAAAATTTAACTGAAAATGGACATTTCCATTTTGGAAAAAAGGTATTGGTGTGTGTTTGAAAAAAGATTGAAAGAATCATAGAATCATAGAATCATAGAATATAAGGGTTGGAAGGGACCCCAGAAGGTCATCTAGTCCAACCCCCTGCTCGAAGCAGGACCAAATCCCAGTTAAATCATCCCAGCCAGGGCTTTGTCAAGAAAGAAATTTTTCTACCAGTTCTGCATATGAGACCCTTTGATGAAGATGCTGTAGAAATATAAAGCTAGACACCTTGGTTCAAAGCTACTTAGTTTACAAGTGAAAATGTGTTTGGTTTTAGCCTACTCCATACTAGATGTTTGCCAACATCACAAAAATCTGTATTCAGTTTAGCATGACTGGAGGTTTGCTATGGCCAGGATTGCAATAGTGTTGATGTCAATGGACATTGACAGGCCTGGGGCAAGGCAATGTTATATCTGCATGCACTAAGTCTGGCTCCATGCAGTATTATCAGTCCTTCACTTCCATGAAATAGTCTGCATATTTGCACCGTATCCATACTGATGCGTCTCACCCAAAAAGCCTTTCTTTGGACAATTTTCCTGCTACCTCCTCACAATTCATCAGTGAAATGTACAGGCAGTCCTTGGACTTATGACACAATTGGTTCCTGAAAATTGCGTCGTAAGTCAAAATGTCATAACTCGTAACTGCAACATACTCCCCACTGAGGGACTGAGCATCATAAAGTTGAAACCAATCGTCATAAGTCAAATCAGGGTGTCAATTCAGAAACGTTGTAAGTGCCGTTCGTCATAAGTTGAACATTGTAAAGTCAAGGACTGCCTGTATTTCAAATAGTTTGTGCCTGTCAGACCATTCTGTTCTTTTAATAATGTAGCTTTTTTGAAGTCATATCCATACATTTTGTACAAATAAGACTCACAATACATCAACCATTCTGTTAGCATTACATTTAATTTGGAAGCTCTTTTTATATCTACATTATTCTATTGAAAGTACTGTTTGTACTGGGAAAACTACTCCCTGGAGACTGACTTAATCCAAATGTAGTTTACAACATTACCATTTAGGATCAAGGCTGGTACTCTTGTCATCTATTCTGGATCCTTTTGAAGATTGGGTGTGACATGGAAGAAAGGTCATCTCGCTTTCCCCCTGCCCCTCTTTCTTTAGTGAACTGCTAACCACATTTATTTCCATTGCACTCTGCCAACTCATACAAATGGGGGGAGGGAAAAAGAGGTAAGAGAAAACAGATAACTTCATTGTTAAGTGTACATTATCTTAAAAAATACACTAAAACCTCAATCTGAACCATGTTTGAAACTTTACCTATAATTTGCCTTTGTCTTGTGTTTTGTGTTGATAGCCATATGAAGTAAGAGAAACTGAACATGCCTCGCAGTCCAACATCAAGTGAAGATGAGATGGCACAAAGCTTTTCAGATTATTCTGCTGAATCTGAATCAGACAGCTCCAAAGAAGAAACTATTTATGATACTATCAGGGCTACATCAGAGAAACCAAGCAGCAGAATGGAAGACAGTAGGAGCAACACATTAGTGATACGAATTATAATACCTGACCTACAGCAAACGGTAAGGGGAATTGCATTATAAGGTTTTTAAATGTTTGGCCAGATCCTCAGTTGTGGGTAAATTGAAGTCAATAGAGTATTTCAATTTCTATCACCTGAAGATCTGGCTTATGCTAAAATGTTCATAGTGTCTAAGACTGATGTCCTATTTTGTTTTGACATCCAAGTTACAACCCAAGTGAGACACCAGAATGGGTGTTTGTCCTAAAGAGATTATACTGACAGGCAGCCCAGGCAATACAGTCAGTCTCACATATGTACTTAATGAAAGCTGTGACCTTATGTCTAAAATGTTTATAAGACGGGTCAGACCAGGGAAGTTTCAGAAGGTCTGTGAACAGCTGACAACAAGAAGAGCTAGAGAACTATAACCACAATGGAACACAGATTGAAAACAGAATTCAGATGCCATCTCTAAAGCTGCCTGGCACCTCAGCATCTTTTACATTTTCTCTTCCGATGACACTGTAGAGAACTGTTTGTTAGCTTGTGGACCCTGAGGTGAGGGTGAGAAGCTCATCAAAATCTCTTCCCCACCTTACCCCCCACCTTACCAAAAAAAGAGAGAGAGAAGGAGACAGGTAGGGATAGATTTCTCCTGCTGTTGCCATCCTTCCCATCATGCCTGCACCTCAGCGCATTCAGCTTGGGGAAGTGGCTGCCTGGATCCCACATTCCTGCTGCCCATCTGGGTACACATGCTATTTACAGGTGACCTGCAGGGGAAACATAAAACATGGCCCCTAGGGAGGTTGTGATCATTGTGGTTTCATAAATACCCACTCTTCCCTGCTCCCCAACTGTTACAATAGCTATAATGATCTCATCTTGGAGAATTTCCTGGGAATTAATAATTGACTTTACCTGGGACTGTGAGCTGTCCTAGTTTATGATTAATTCCCTGGATAATCTTGGGCATTCTTGAGTGCTGTTTCCTAAATTAGCATTTTGATAATTGACAGTAGGCGTCACACTTTATAAATTTATTTTTATTTTCAATGATGATTATATAGATAGCACGTCTGCAGAACAGAATTTATGTCATTTCATGCTGCCATTTATGGTATATGCATGTTAAAAGCTGAAACTATTTCTTTTTTTTTTTTTTTTTAAATTAAGCAGTAGAATATAGAAGTCTTGTCTGGACTAGGGTTGCCAACTTTGTTTAATATTTAAAAACTGGACATTCCAACAGGAGTGCCAGAACCTCCCTTGCCCACCTCTTCCCCCTGAGGTTCAGGCCCTGCCCCCTGTTTGCTCCTCTTCCTCCTCCCCCACATCACTTGCTGCTCTTCTTCTCTTTCCTCCCCCCACCTCCCGCCCAGTTCGGAAGGGACTCACCTGTGGAGATGCGGCTGGGAGCTGCAGCTGGCCGACATAGCTAGGAGATGGTCCTGGCTGAGTAGGGGCTGGTGAGAGTCAGGACCCGGCACCTTCACTACCTATAATAACCAGATTTTTGTTGTCCAGTCAGTAGATCGGATGAGGTGCCCTTTTCCACCGGACTTTTCAGTTGAAACTGGGCACTTGGTCGTCCTAGTCTGGAAGCTGACAGGGAGGGGTTAACTCTCTCTTCTTGATAGAGGAAGGCTCTTAGGCTATGACTGCACTAGAGAGCTTACACTGGCACAGCTGCACTGATGCAGCTGCGATGCTGTAGTGCTTCTAGTGCAAACGCTCTAAACCACCGTTGGGAGAGAGCTCTCCCGTTGACTTAATCGCTCCAGCCTCCGTGAGTGGCAGTAGCTATGTCGGCAGGAGAAGCTCTCCCACTGACATAGCACGGTCCACTCCAGCGCTTAGGTCGATGTAACTTTTTCACGCCCCTGAGCGACATAACTTACACCCACTGAAGCTGTAGCGTGTACCCCCCAAAAAAAAAAAAAAAATTATTTGCTTCCGGTCAACCTGAAACTAAAATTTTTTAGCAAAATGAAAAAGTCAAAAAACTGTTGCTTCACGTCAAACTTGTTCAGACTGGAAATGAAACATTTCATTTTATTTGAGTTTTTTTAACCTTTTTAAAAAATAAAATGGAAATACATTTTGAAAAAAAGAGCCCACCTGAGGGTGCATTTTTTGGAAAAATAAAGTTTTGTCCAAAAATTTCACTCAGCTCTAATCTAAGTACTTATATGCACCCCATCACTGCCGAACCACTTTAGGTACCTAAATAAAGGCCAGATTTTTGGAAGTGTTCAGCACCCAGCTGTTCCTCTGGTGACATTTGTGGCCAGGTTATTCTGAAAGTCTGGCCCAAATGATGGACCCTGAGCTCTTTTTAAAATTTCAGCCCAAGGTCACATAAATCTGTGGTGGAGTTGAGAACTGTGCCCAAATCCTCTGGCTTTCTAGAGCACTGCTTGAAACATGCAACCATCCTCTACTCCGGTTCCCACTGAAGTCAGTGGCAGAACTCCCATTGACTTGTATGGTACAGGATTAGGTTGTATACTGTTTAATGATTGGGGTCTAAGAAGGGGAAGTGCTGTGGGGTGGTGGGTCTTGAATAAGAAAAGGAGGTTCTCTAAGAAGAAGCAGGAGTTGAGGAGAGTCAGGGTGGTTTTCCTGTTTTACTCTGGAACTTGGTTGCATTGAGCCTGCAGACTTTTGTTGTGGATTTGGCAGAAGGAAGTCCTGTTGTGTTTGACACTTAAATGGATCATATGTAAAAATATTTATTCTTATGGCTTGCAATAAAGTCCTCCAGTGTGGTTTTTAGAGTCTACCTTGGCATGACTAGAACTCCATTCCTGCTTCCACCAGCCCATCTTTTGATTAAAATGGCTACCTCAAGTCAGTTTTACGCTTAATTATTGTTATACCTTAATTGTATTGGTGCTTTGCAGCATGGTTCTTGATTTTTATTGTTTAATGACTTAGGCCCCAGAACTTTGATCTGATCTGAGCAGGTAGATTCCTACACCTGAGCATAGCCCCACTGTCCTGCCCACTTCAAAATGTTTAAATTTGTTAACTCTGGACCGAAAATGGATTTTGTGAATATGGGCCATTTTGCTGGCTTCATAGAACTGCATTGCCTGCTAATAGCTTCGTTACAACACAAAATCCTCTTCATGTGAATGGCGGAAACTGAGTATTGTGCTTTATTTAGCAGTGACATTTCAAAGGCTTATATAAAGGTGTTGATGAGGTGCAACTGCTTTGCTTTGCTGTTACTTTGTTGTCATAGATTTAATTTAGCTTTTTTATTTTGTCCATGCCATATCCATCTCCCACACATTTCAGTTCTCAATAGACAACTGTAGTATTACTAAAGGATTTGAATTCCATTTATCAGTGCTCCTTTGCTCTTAAAGAGTGCTAGAAAGATACTAGCTGAGTTGAAGAACTCTCAGTTCATGAATTATTTCTGATATGTAACAATAATAAAGCTATTTGACAACACTTTCTACTTCTAGTCCTACCCATCTCAAAACACTTTACAAACATTAATAAACCAGATGCAGCTTTCTATTACTCCAGATTCGGGCTGGTTGAAAAATGTCCATCAAAACTTTTTTTTCAACAGAAGATTGGGTTTTCGATTAAACAATAATTTCAGCAGAAAGTATATGCTTTCCTCAAAATGTTCATGTTTTTATAGGGAAAAAACCCCTCCAAAATGTTCCGGGTTTGGGTTTTTGTTTTTCCAACACAAATGCATTTTTTTCTCCTTTTCATCAAAAATGTACATAAAAATAAACCCAATTTTCCAAACAACTGTAACTCCAGATGTACACTGGCAGTGAGATCAAAAGTAAGCCCAATATATTCAATACCACTGTGATGGTAGGACTGCATTATTGTTTCCATTTTACTGGCCAGAAACTGAGACTTAGAAAGGTTAAGTGAAGTGTCCTAGGTTACACTTAAAGGCTGTGGCAGAGCCAGGAATAGATTTCAAATCTCCAGTTCTGTATTTTAGCTACAAGCCAAACACAATCTTCTCCCCCACTCCCTATATAATTACAATTACTCTAGAAAAGATGTTTTAAAATTATACTGCTTAATCAAAGGAGAACAAAATTGCATCAAATTACTTTTGTGTTTTGGTTCTTGACTATCATTTCAGAATAGAGGTTCAGACTAAATCAGCTTTTTAAAAAAAGCTAATTTCAGTACTTTGAATAAATGGCTGATTTTCTATTTTTAACAAAGGCTTATCCTCCTTCTACAGTGACTGTGTGTTCATCACTTTTATTTCATTGTGCATGTTAGATCAAACATTGAACATCATAGGGAAAGATGTGTTACTGTACAAAAACCTGTACATTTTCACCAGCTCTGTGAATTTTACCTTCCTATGCTTTTATTCTGACCTGGAACTCTAACATATTTGTCAGCTGCAGCAGCATAAATATTGTAAGCCTTGAAAAGGCTTCAGCAAACTCACTGAAGCTTATAAGTTTCAGAGTAGCAGCCGTGTTCTGCTGTATTCGCAAAAAGAAAAGGAGTACTTGTGGCACCTTAGAGACTAAGGTGCCACAAGTACTCCTTTTCTTTTTGAAGCTTATAAGTAGTTCTATTTTTCAACGGTTGCAGTAGTTCTTTATTTGTCTATTTATGGTAATATAGTCATTTCTTGTCTCTGTTCATTGTCTCTGTTATTTGAGGTATATGTTATCCTTACTGCATGTGTGTAGCACACATTACAGCAAGTGAAGATTGTGTTCACACCAAGAAAAGGCATTAAACTAAGTATATAAAATAATTTCTGAAATCATTTCTAGTACCAAGGAAATGGAGGGCACAGACTGCTTCAACACAGTTTACACATAAACAGCACAATTATTACAAAAAGCTGTTTTATTTTGGTTGCACAGGCAGAGTAAGAAGAAGCCAGGAATGCAAAATGTATGGCCAAGAGCCACATTAACTCAGCCATGTTGTACTTCCTGTATATTTTAGGGTAGATATTTTATGAGAAAAATAGTGTAATGCAACGGGCCAAACTGTATTTGGCCTTTGAGTGAGTGTATAGTTGAAGGAAAGCTGTGA